TTGTTTTCTTACTGGATGGTCAGCAAACATTATTTCAAGGCCTATATTGTTTAAAATGTAATGTTTTACTGTGTCCGAGCCTTTAAGGTGTATATGTGATTCACTCAAGTAGCTTAATTATAAAGTAAATATCACCGGTGCTGAAGGTAACAATACTATATTGAAGAAATAAAACTTGTCTCTGTTGTCCATGTTTTTACACTAAAGAAAAAATAAAAAAAAAAGTTGTCTAGCCTTCTTTTGTTCCTGTTGGTTTCTTCCACTCTACTTACACACTTTTAAATCCTGGTCCTTTCTATCTGATCCCTTCACTCAAGTTGGGAGCAGTTGAACACTTAGAAAATTTAGCCGTTTGTTCCCAAGTGGGGTGGGCAGCATGAAGGAAAGTGAGAGTTTGCTCCTCATGCCCTCAGTGTCTCATTCATTTATGTCACAATACCACACCGGCCAAAATAATTCTCAGTGAAAATATAATTTGTTTTAGGTGAAGAAGCGTATTTACAAAGTCAGTATATCGTGAAAATACCCAGAGCCACGGACAAGAAAAAAAGAGGGTGCTACAAAGTGAAACTCAGTCTTCAGTGGGTCTCCGTCAGAAACGAAGGCAGAGAATTGAACAAAGAATGGCGCTGGTCTGACTGACCTTCATTTCACAAACTTCACCAAAGAGCACAAGTCAATAATAATCTCCCTCTGCGAAGCAACTGATGCTGGATTTCTCTCGCCCTATTTTAATGTTCAGTGTTTAATGTTTGGGTCTCAATAAAATGAAATTTGCTGCTGGAAATAAGATTTTATTCTAGCACTGTTTATTATCATTTATCCTAAAATGCCGAAGTGCCGCGATTGAGTTTTGGTCTTAATGTTAAGTTTAAAATTCAATATCTAAACTTTGCCTCCCCTATTATGAATTTGGATGCTGTTATTTACAATCAGTACCGAATAGATTTCGCCTTCAAATTTCGCTAAAGGGATTAGATCTAAAGCGACTTTGTAAATAAATATTTTATTTAAGTTAAGTTGTGGATCCTTTTACTTCCAATGAAAATAACGGAGAAATTTTCGTATTTCGAAACGAAAAAGGAAATTAGCGGAAATGTATTTTTTTTATCCTATAAAGTAAAATTAAATTTTAGCTGGAAAAACTTGGCCGCGATGTTTATCCGCATAATAATGAAAATTTTCCGCAATAATAATTTGGGCCAATTTCCCTAGAGATGTTTCAGCTGTCGAGACCGGAATGGATACTTAAGATCAGGTTTCCCACAAAAGACTGGAACTAGCTGAACGCGTTATTTAAATAAAAATTATATAAGAAGAATCTTCCAGTCAGTCTTTTATGGGAAAGCCGATTTTAATGTATCAATTGAAGTCACTGCCGAGAAATTAGCGGAAAATTTAAAGAAGACACTAAGCGAAAAAAAGTTGTTTATATATTTATGCCTACAACCAAACCTAGAGCATGAATGTCAAATTAACTTGAGTTATCACCCAAGCCAAGGAAATCTAATCTATGTCCCTTTTCAACAAAGAAATAGAGAAGACTTCCACAGTAGTCTGATTAATCAAGTTGGTTTAATCGTAATAATTTGATCCTACCTTAATACGGTTTAGCTATCTCGGTTTCCAATAGCCTGTTCACAGACCCTCTATTTTCTCCTCCGTCAAGCGCGCGTGATAGAAAATAAACCGCGGGGGATTTATTGACCGCCAGCGCAAAGGGGTAAGGGTTGGGGAAGAAGGAAATAGACGTTTTTATTTTTGTTTCTCGCGGTCCGCACTCGCGTGCTCGCCTCGCTCTCGCGCACGCCGATGCTTTCCAAAAGAATGAAAAGAAAAATAAAACAACATCTGTGTACAGGCTAGGTTTCCAAAGGCTTAAATAATGTCAAGGAGAAGTTAGTCTTTAACATCAACAGCCAAGTTTGTTTGACTGTTGTTTCCAGTTGACACAAAAACAACAGATGTTGATGTAACATAACCTTAGTTTTGATCATTTTAAGGTAATTCAGGCAGGAAATATGACAATGAAATGATAATTAAGATATTAAATAATTGATTTGTATATTTTTATCCTATGCGATGATTTGAAAGGTTATTTATCATTAGGCCTAAGCAAGCTTGAGATAGATGTGAAATTTTTAGGTTTAGAAGAGAACTCCATTACCAGTTGCCCCCATTAGAGAGATTTTTTATGACTATCAGCTCAATTTGATGTCATTTGTAAAAATCCACCCACACCACACCGGTAAGATTCAGTGTCCACTCCTCTGTCCTCGAATCCTCCATCGACACACCAACTCCGTGAGCCGGCACAATGTTAGCACCGCCGTTTTTCATCCTACCGCAGGCAAGCACCTTACTGTTTTTTTCTTTGGAAAAAGGTGTGGGTAGTATTATGACAAAATGAATGAAGCCCCAAGAACATAAGAAGCAAACTCTCACCTTCCTCCACACTGTCCTCCCCACTTAGGTACAAACGGCCAAATCTTGTGTTGCCCAACTGCCCCCAGCAAGAATTACAGAATCAGATAGATTCCCAGGGTTTCTCCGTTGAAATATCTCAGAAGACATCAGAAACACACCTTCTCAGAGGCAGAGCTTCCACAGCCCAGCAGGGGCGAGGTTGGCTAGATTAAACATGACCTTTCCCAAGTGATGGGCTCCTCATCTTGTGAGTGTGCCACCTAGGATCTGAAAGTAAATAAGAAGTTAAAATTTTAAATAAAAAATGCGAGCCCATTAGCACTTTAAAAACATAACAGCCCTATTTTACTTGGTGTTACAATAAAATTCCGAAAAAGAGAAAGAGTTAGTAATAACCCTAATTTTTTACGAGTTTTTTTATAACGGCACATTACTAGCTGCAACTAGCAACGTGCTAGTTCGCTAAGGAGCAAGAACCTAGAGTGAAAAAAAAAAAAACAAAACAAAACAAACAAACAAACTAACAACTGATATTTACGAAGGAACTTTTGTAACACCAAGAAATGTGGACGTGCATATTATTAAATAATAATCTGAGCATAATTAAAGAGAATGTGATAGTAACCAATAGTCTGCTCTCTTAAATACGCTCCTAGGATGTTTGAAAGCTATTCCAAAAGTTCTTTCTGTTCTCCAATGGAAAAACCGTGGCATCTCCAAATGTTGGCTGGTTTCTTTGGAAAACAAAACCACTACTCAATGGAATCTCATAGTGGAAATGTTAAACTAAACTAACTGGTTGAATAAACAATTGCTGGGGAATAAAATTTGCAAATTGAAGACTGAAACTTAACATTCCTTGACCGAATAATTGATTTATCCAATAAAACAAACGCTACAAATAAATGTAATGCTGATTAATGACACTTCCCAATGGCCTCTGTTTGTGCAATGGTGGCACACACACTGGAATTATTACTAATAAAAAAGTGGAGTTTAACTTTAAGGAAATCAATTAATTAATTTCAGTTTGTCACATGACTGAAAAAGTGTCTAGATGCATATAAATGTAAAAGAATTTTGAACATTCCACCTATCCTTATTAAGAGACCGGTGAAAATTAATTTTTCCTGTTAAAAGGCAAATATTTCATTCTGTAAATTTCAGACTATTTTCTTGAACCCCTTACAATACTTAAAAGTAATTTCTGAAGGTTGCAATTTGTTTCCCAAAAACCCACAGCTATCATAAGAAAGTTCTTTTAGTCATACAGCAACTGGGTAGTTGAATTAATGTGAATTTTATGTGATATACAATATTTCAGTTCTATTCTCATGTTTAACGAAATGTTGTGTGAATGGGGGTTGTGGGACAACAGCTGGGTGAAAAACCTCCCTGTACGTCCACTTGCTCCTAGGAGGAGAACCCCAGGCCAGCTGTACCCCACATTCAGGCCTCCTGGGCAGGGCCAAAAATTTTAACTTAGTTTTTGACATCAGGATTTAGATGTTATTATTATTGCTATTATTTAAAGAGTGAGATAATATTAAACTATGATGTTTTAAAATAACAATTATACCATTTCTAGTCAATTAAAACATCATGCAATACAAACCAGATATGACAAGGCTCTCCACAATCCTCAGCCCAACTCTTGCACCAGGTGCACATGATGTCTCATATCACTTGCCCTTTAATCCATCCTCTCCATTCTCTTCTAAACAAGGTTCTTGTACTAGGTGATGTCATCCAGCAAGCTCTAGTTTGCCCTGTCTATTGCCTAGTCAGTTGTCTTGTTTGCCCTCTTGTCTGTCTTCTCCATTATCCAGTTGCCTTGTACTAGGTGCATGTTATGTCATCCATCCAGTGTCCAACCAACTGCACACTCATAAATACAAACCTCCATTTGTCTACCATTCTTGTGATTGCTTCCTGTAAAGTAAGAAAGAGATTTTTACATGAATATTGACATTTACAAGTACATTGTATAATGAAGTAGTATTATTATACTTCCAAAGAAAGATAAATGCTAAGTCATTGGCAAAAGCAAAGCAGTGAAAAATGGTATCATCACAAATTCTGCAATACGATTGGCTAACATATTCGCTATCCGTTGCTTCATTGATAGTGAGAATTGTACTGGCATCTTGAAGAAAAATAAAAAATGGCAATTACTTCAACAAATCATTTTTGTGATATTTCTGTCGAGGAGGAAGAGGATAAAAAATAAACGTGGCTAAAAATCACAAACACTAAGTAAAAATGATGGCCCTAAATACAGAAATATGAACACTTTTAATGGCAAAAAGACCAAATTTTAGTTCTTTCTTTGTGACAAACAGACAAATATATTAAATATTGTATGGCAAGCAACTGAGGATTAGGTTTTGTGAATCACCTAAATGAATGTGTGTTGAAGCGCATAACAATTAGATTTTTCTTTTTTTCTACTGACATAATGAAAAACAAACAATTTTTATGAATTCAAGACAATCGTAATGTGTAGTACATAGTTGATAGGTCCAGGCCCTCTGGATCCCCACTCAGTGTGGGACTTGATTTAAGATGTCTGCCCTTCAGAGAATGTAGCCCAATATTTAGAAATGATAGGGGGAGATGTACAGCACATTAAAATTGTCAGATAATTTCAGGGTTATCACTTAGGTCGGGGATTTCCCCCGGCTACTTTAGTCGTTAAATTGAACCAAAAAACAGCAACAAAAAATACTTCATTAAAAAGGAAAATTAGCATTTGAAAAAGTAAACTAAGTAATATTATTACAGCACACCTTTGATAAACACAAAAACTATCCATCAATTCAAACTAAATGCAAGTTTCATCTGCAGCACTCACGTGCAACAGCTAAGAAAAAGACATCTGACTTGGATTTGGTACTAGCACACACGCGCAAAAACTCTGTCAGTTTCAACCGTTGTGTCGGCTTTGTGTTGAACATGTCAAAAAAGCAACAAAGGAATCTGGACTCATTTTCGCTGTTAGCCAGCATCCAGTTTATCAAATTCAAGGTATGCATGTTGATCTCAATGTGTGTGCTATGAAAACGTTTATCCAGATAGTTGACTTAACCGCTGCATGTTTTAAAATTCAAGATAAAAAACTGCCCGTCAACAACCATTTAGAAAAATAATGTAAGTAATCAATATCACTTCCAAACACTAGAAACAAAATTCAAGAGCATGAAGCGACCCTGTTGTTAAATCCCTTCCCAGCTCACTGATGATGTTACCCATGATGCTGTTTCAACTGCCTACCATCACCATCGTGCCCATCTTTTTGTCGTAAGGTGTCTCCGCCGATGCCAAGCTTATGTCCAAGCAGTTGCTCTGTCAGCTGCATTCCGCAATGCCAACAACCTTATTGTCAACAGCACTATCCTCCTAATGTTTCAACACAGTCACCTGCTATCTGTCCATCGCAATTTGTAATTCGCTGTGACAACATGTGCCTGGCGCACTATCGTCCTGCCCCATCTGAACAATCGATGTTTTAAACAAAATCNTAAGTAAAAATGATGGCCCTAAATACAGAAATATGAACACTTTTAATGGCAAAAAGACCAAATTTTAGTTCTTTCTTTGTGACAAACAGACAAATATATTAAATATTGTATGGCAAGCAACTGAGGATTAGGTTTTGTGAATCACCTAAATGAATGTGTGTTGAAGTGCATAACAATTAGATTTTTCTTTTTTTCTACTGACATAATGAAAAACAAACAATTTTTATGAATTCAAGACAATCGTAATGTGTAGTACATAGTTGATAGGTCCAGGCCCTCTGGATCCCCACTCAGTGTGGGACTTGATTTAAGATGTCTGCCCTTCAGAGAATGTAGCCCAATATTTAGAAATGATAGGGGGAGATGTACAGCACATTAAAATTGTCAGATAATTTCAGGGTTATCACTTAGGTCGGGGATTTCCCCCGGCTACTTTAGTCGTTAAATTGAACCAAAAAACAGCAACAAAAAATACTTCATTAAAAAGGAAAATTAGCATTTGAAAAAGTAAACTAAGTAATATTATTACAGCACACCTTTGATAAACACAAAAACTATCCATCAATTCAAACTAAATGCAAGTTTCATCTGCAGCACTCACGTGCAACAGCTAAGAAAAAGACATCTGACTTGGATTTGGTACTAGCACACACGCGCAAAAACTCTGTCAGTTTCAACCGTTGTGTCGGCTTTGTGTTGAACATGTCAAAAAAGCAACAAAGGAATCTGGACTCATTTTCGCTGTTAGCCAGCATCCAGTTTATCAAATTCAAGGTATGCATGTTGATCTCAATGTGTGTGCTATGAAAACGTTTATCCAGATAGTTGACTTAACCGCTGCATGTTTTAAAATTCAAGATAAAAAACTGCCCGTCAACAACCATTTAGAAAAATAATGTAAGTAATCAATATCACTTCCAAACACTAGAAACAAAATTCAAGAGCATGAAGCGACCCTGTTGTTAAATCCCTTCCCAGCTCACTGATGATGTTACCCATGATGCTGTTTCAACTGCCTACCATCACCATCGTGCCCATCTTTTTGTCGTAAGGTGTCTCCGCCGATGCCAAGCTTATGTCCAAGCAGTTGCTCTGTCAGCTGCATTCCGCAATGCCAACAACCTTATTGTCAACAGCACTATCCTCCTAATGTTTCAACACAGTCACCTGCTATCTGTCCATCGCAATTTGTAATTCGCTGTGACAACATGTGCCTGGCGCACTATCGTCCTGCCCCATCTGAACAATCGATGTTTTAAACAAAATCAACACCAACAGGAAATGTTAAGCCAAACTCTTCGCCACCACAAAGCTATGCATCACCTACACCATATGCCCAAGTTCTTGCTCATCGTACTGTTCACACAGTTGTCCCCAGTATTGTTGCATGGGGCAACAAAAATCTCCATACCTATTCAAAGCTTTGGAACAAAGATCACCGATTCGAAGGTCTCTCACGGTTCAAGAAGCCGAGTATAAGTTGAAAGTTGTACTCTTTCAGGGCCGGTTTCTATCAAGTCCTTTGAAGCTATACAAGCCTTTGTACTTTTGAAACTGTTCTGTTACCTGCCCTAAAATATGCTCTGATGTTGGGAGAAAACAGATGTTTGTATATAAGCGGAAGAAAAAAAGCACAAATAACCAAACCGCGGAATACAACGAAAACGACGAAAACACAACAGCAAAAGATCTTCAACCAAGGGCCATTTCTGAACTTAAAATCGGATTGTGTAACTAAACGTTTGTGGTACATTTTACCGGTATTCTTTTGCGCATAATTAAACAATATCCACTATTTTCTGACTTCCGTAACTTTTTTGCTTTCTCTTTCCCATGGAAAAGGAACGAAAAATACGTCTAAAATTGTTGCCAGCAGCAGCTGCAGACAATGTTACCGTAAAAACAAAACGTAAGTCAAATTTGAAAAAATTATAATTTCATTTTGTGTTTTCCAACCAGCCCGTTTTATCAGCGGAGCTCTCGCGCGCGAAACACTCGCAGCAGAGAACCATGGCTGAGAAAATGTGGTAAACTACACATCCCAGAAAATTTGGTGATCACGTGATCGTAGACCGATCGACCGTCCCTCCCAATGCAAAATAACTCAAACAACACGTATGGCAACCCAAATGGAACTCGACGTTATTTTGTAAAGCAGAGACAACTGAGGAGTCAATGAAGACGAAAACGGAAAGCAGAAATTGTCTCTGCATCCGTGTTTTCTTAAGTATTAAGCTTTGATAAATTGTCATGTCGACAAATTTGGAATATAGAGCAAGAGAAAGACAGTTAACAAGTGGAAGCAGGCGGCAGGCCAGCGAAACTTAACGAGAGATCTAGAGCGAGAGTTAGAAATAAAGGACACATTTTTTTGTTGGAAGAACATGAAAATTTTGTAGCGGCGGTGTCAAAATTAAAAATGCTAGCGGCCACCAATGCAAGGATGAGCGGCAGTGATAAAAAAGTGAACGAGAACACGTCCGACATTTCCTCCATAAAACGTGTAACTCCCAAGTTTCTGCAAGTTTTCACGTTGTAGTCGTGCAAAACATCGGGCAAAGAAATGTACAAAAAAAGTGTGCTGCACGTGCAATGTTGCTATTTTGCTAACTAAGGACTTATTGTTGTTTTTCACCGTTAACCGGCGTTGCCTTCGCCGCTTAGCATTACACCATTTTATATTTTGTTTGAACAAACTATAAATGTTATCGAGAGCTTCGCTTTTAGCCCTGGCTAAATCTCTATATATTATGTTAATCATTTCGAAACTCCTCAAACCAGACTCGATTTTGATAGACACAAAAAAAGCGTCCGCGTACACCAAACCAAGCGTATACCTCTGTTCAAATTTCCCAGAATGTCTTTTGCATAGTTGTGTGGAAAGAAAAACTGTTTGCTTCCTTGCAGCCTTAACAGTGTCCGGATCGTTCATTATCAAATTATTGACGTGCATAAGTAGGCCGTTGTTCAGACGTCGATCTTGCTTCATGTTCATGGTTCCTTCAAGGTATTACTTGAGTCGTCGAAGGGCGGAAAATGTATGTTGCGAAGTCTCCAATGGAAAGCACAGTTAATAGCAAATTCAATCTTATAAAATGCTGAGCACCTCTCTAAATAAGGCGCGTTTTTGTAACAAGAGTTTGTGGAAAGCTGGGCTACCCGATATTTTGAGGAAAAACAACTTTTACAAATGATAGCCATATTTTTCATGGCTGAACTGAACGGGCCTGAGTGAATGAGGATATTGTGTATGAATCAACGAAATTTCAAAACCATTTTTTTGGGCCTAACACGCATGCGTCTGTGAAGAACCGTACCATGGGTGTTTTAAACCATAAGTGAGCGAAATGAGTTTCCGATCCAAATATATAGGTAAATTTTCTAAGGCAAAAGTTAGGTTGATTTTGCTGGTGGGGTTATAGGGCGGTGAGAGATGGCCAACTCTCTGAAGCCTGCTTGACTAACCCGTGCGGTAGATTGACTTACCGGGGGGGGACTGTCTAGCTTGCTGACGGGCCCCGATCTCCGGCCCAGCAAGTGCAGGGAGGTGCTCGAACTATTAACTCGGTCCCAGAGGTTAAATGGGAACCCTCGCGCCGGAGGTTAAACGGCTAACTCTCTCCCAGAGGTTAAACGGGAAAAATGGCCGCCAGAACACCTCCCTGACAGGGTTTTTGCTTTTTTTTGTGACGTGTCACGCTGTCACGCAATATGTATATTTTTAACCCGGGGGGGGACTGCCATATGAAAGGGGCGGGGAATTTTAAATTAAAACCCCTTAAGAAGACCAACTTGGGCGTGGGCAAACCTTTTTTGGACCCCTAAAAGAGACCATTTTGTTACAATTTTCTTTGATCACATGAATTGAGTAAATAAAACGAACTGACAAAATATATATCTTCGCGTGCAACCCTAAGAGAGACCTTTACGGTTAAATACAATGACGTTTTGCCCAGAACACCCTAAGTGAGACCGAAATCCGAAATTTACACCCCTAAGCGAGACGACGAGCATCCCCGCTGCTTTCATATGGGAGGCCCCCCCCGGGTTACTTGTTTTCATCTAAGTACCATCAGCGTGATTTCTGTAAAAAGGCTGGTTGTTGTGATGTTACCAACAATGAAGCAACGAAGATTGCAAAGCAGACTTATAAATTTCAACATAGTTGGCTAAACAAAAGATCGATGTCATCTTGTCTTACAACTGAGATGTGGTGGTCTGTTTATGTTGAAGGCGAGGGTCTGTTCTGCTTGTTGTGCAAAAAACATACCACGTCTAATCTTCAAAATAAGTCGAAAGTTTTAAACAAAGAGCCCTGTAAACGATTTCGCCCAGAAGAGTTTGAAGATCACTGCCGTACGTCACAACAAATGAACACAGTTTCAGCGGAGATGCTACAGAGGGTTTCCGTGTTTCAGAGAACCCTTGACGAACGCGAAAGAGTCGCAGAAGATGTGCTGTTGAAGGTGTTCACAGCTGCGTATTGGATCATGAAAGAAGAGCTACCTAACAACAAGATCAAGTCACATGTAAGCCCCTGAGCTTACATGTATTCCCGTTTGGCGGCCACTAAAAAAACCCCTCCAACCAGCCTTTACGTAAAGTAAAAACGTATTATTTTAGTGTCTCAGAATGTGGTAGTTTTCTTTAATAAAGACGTAATCATCATAAAACCGCTAGTAATAGCTCTGCTCTTGGTGGAGATTGCCCTTTTCTTGGCGCGAATGCCTTTTAGAAAATGTCTAAAACATCTTTTGGGGGTGGGGGGCTCCATGACCGCTTCCGACTTCCCTGGCTACAAACAACAATTACCTGGGAACTTGAAATCTTAGTGACAACCCCAAAGCAAGGCTCTACAGACTATAAAAAGTCATTTTCTGTTATTTGAATTTTTGCAAAGGGGTTTTTATATGAAACTAGGGCATCTAAAAGAAAGTTATGCTGCCGCACATTCTGTTGACACTGCCATTAGTTATGAACCCTGAAGCGGATGGATCACAGCCTACAAAAAAATTCAACCATTTTTAAAGGACTTTTCAAGGACCACATTAGATTTTCAAGGACTACCTGCTAGGAGCATAACTTCGGCTTAGCCTCTTTTCCCCCCCACCCCCCTTCCCCATTTTATTTTCTGACTGGAACCTTTGTTTGCTCTGTAATTTACATGTTGTACTTCTTATGGTCACTATATACTTAGCCAAAACAGAATGTATAATAGTATACCAGGCCGATCATTATTTTATTCCTCTGCATCTTGATGTATCTGTACAACACTAATCATTCATATTATGGTATTATACCAGACTAGGTCGCATTCCTTCATTGAAATGTGGAACTACTGTCTTTCTTTCCATTAAAAAAAGTCACAGGGAAGTGCAACCCCTGGCTGCACTTTAACCCACGGTAAGGCTTAGCCCTCGGAGACAGGTCCGGAAAAATATCCACTCTACTCTACCCAGGAGGGCCACCCCTCCTGGTTCCCCTTAGTTCCTAGTGACTGGTGGATATGGGTCTCACCCCCAGAGACTGATCAGGACTCCTGTTCAGGGTGGCTACCCCTGGTATCACTCAATCTTGTCTTCCCCCCCCCGAAGGGCTTCTCTCCTGGTCCCCTTACCCCTATAGTTAAGTGCTTCCCTGCCACCAGAATTTTGCCAATTACTTTTGTGTGTTTTCTGTGTGTATCTACATGCAAAACCTTTATGCGTAACCACTGCGAACTGGAAAGTTTATTAAGGCACAATTCAGTCAAAATATCTCTGAACGTTTTGATTAACTCTAGAGCCTGACGACTTCAAGTATTTTTAAAAGAATGTGTTACTTTCCTTTGCCACCAAATTTGGAACACAGAATGTTAAGAATTTAAACCAATGATGTGGCTAGTTTCAACTCCCAACCATAAACACAACTATCACCGATTTTTTTTAAAATGTTTGAAAATGGGTAGGAACGGAGGAACAATAATTATTTAATATTGGGCTTTCTGGGACCAAAAAAAGCTTTTGAGAGTTGATAATGTTTAAGTAATGGTCTAGATAAACTAAGAATTAAAGAGCCAAACTCAATGAGCACGTCAGAATGTGAAAAAAGTGATAACTTTACAATTGTCTCTACTACACTTCTGATTGGTTTAAACATCAGATTTTACTAAAACAAACTCTCATCTGAGTCTAAGTAACACGGACAACCTGTGTGGGAAACATTTAAAATTGTAACGTTTTCTTGGCTTATGTTGTTTGCAGAACTTATGATGGGTTGAAATATTTTAACACAAAAAACACCCTTATTAAAATGGACTTAAAAATATATTTTATTATTTTCGTAGACTACCTTTTTGTAGGTTAATGCATTCTACTGTATTTGTGAAAATGAAAACATTTCCATATGAGGAAAGCGTATTGCAACATAACGAAAGAAATTGTTTCCCTTCTTAGCCAGATCATTACTTAACAATACTTTTGGAGGCCATTTTCATCATATTTATCATGGTGATGGTGGTGGAGGGGGTGAGGGGCATGGAGGGGGTAGGGTTGGATCATGG